TGGCCCAACAAAGCCAACCGGCCCTCGGGCACGTGCTGAGCTGAGCAGGTCTCAAATATGCTATGTACTGTGCTGATGGAGTGGTAGGCTAGGGCTGGGAGGGATTTTCTTAAAAGATTTTGTTAAGCTTTCATTTAATATTACAATGCATCTGTTAGACAAAGGTGGTGACTTTGTTTTTCTCCTCTCCACCCACCCCGAAAATGGTGTTGGCGTGTGTGTGCGGGTGTGGTTGTGGTGCCATCCTTCTTCCCTTGCAAGTGTAGGGTCGTCAGGAACTTTATATACACATCTAGTTGTATAAAGCTGGAGCAAAACGTGGAGTGAAGCCGAGTTGGATAAAGAAATAGCTAACTAGCTTGGTCTATGGGATTCTTTTCTGCATGTTTTAGGGAGGAAAAAAAAAACACTTGGCTATCTCTACTGAAAATTTTGAGCGATGTCTACCTGCTGCCTCGTTTTCTGCCCCTGCATCCCTCTGCCCAGCCTCCGTAGCTGCCCCAGTGTTGGTGTAGCCCTGCGTGCGCTAAGGAGGCGGCAGACAGCAAGTTCAAAGGGTTATTGAAAGCCGTTGGACTCGATGGTGACAAAAGTGCCTCCGTGCAGGTTTCCAGGACAGCAGTGAAGTCTCTGGGGTGAAGGATCTGCCCCGCCATGCAGGTGATGGATCCTATTCCCCATCCATAAGATCCCCCAGTAGAGACCAAGATGCCTGGGGTGACGCCTGCCTCGAACTATTGGCACTACCTGAGGAGGTTTTGAGCCAAAAAATAGGGGGGAAAAAATAGAATGTAAGGCAGGCCTCTTATTTTTAAATAAGGCTGCAGTGAGATCCAGCTCAAGGCAGGTGCAGTGGGTCTGCGCTCAGGCCGAGAAGGGCCCGCGAGTGAAGGCACTGGTGGATGCAACAATCACGACGGTCACGTCCCTGCTGCTAAAATACCGGCTGCTCTTCTGTGTTTGTAAGCCATAAAAGATTCTGTTCCCATCTTCCTTGGCCAGCTGTCGTCTTCTTGGAGATGAAAATTAGAGCTGGTTTGGTCCTTTTCCATCCTTTGCTTGCACTGGCCAAGCTCCCGCAGCTGCTGCTTGTGACTCCGTCCTGGTGCAAAGGGCACCGTTAACATCCCCATCTCCCTTCTCCATCGCGTGTGACGCTCGGTACGCCCTCACTCCAGCACCAGGGGCAGGACGTAGGTCAGCAGCTCCCCAAAACCATTGTTCAGGACTGCGGCAGCTCTCCCTCACCCCCAAAATTGCCTCCCAGCTGCTTCCAGAGCTGGGTAATGTCAGGGTTGGTGAGGAACTGGAGGATCCAGAGGTTAATCCTGGGAATGGTCATAGCTGAGTGCTGGCAACGGGTATCCAGGATCCCCACATGAACTCCGGGGACAAAGCAAGGCACGGGCTGCTAATTCCAGCAGTGAAGAGAGGAGGCCTCTTGGTCTCCTTGCCTGGCTCTGAGGCAGCTTGCTTCTCTAACCCTGGATCAGAGATACGAGCACACCCCGAGCCGCTGCAGGTCCTGCCCTGAGCTGCCAAAGCCTTGTAAATCAGTCAGGGGTAAAGGTGCCAAGAAAAGTCATTAAAAAATGGAATAATTTTGCTCGCTTCTCCCCATGAATGCTGGGCAGCAGCTGGACCGTGAGCTTCATGGGCAGAGGGGCTTGTGTTTTGGCCGCTCGCCTTTTGTACGTGTTTGGCTACCTCCGGTGGTTAAGACAACGTGTATTTTAATTGTTTTTTCTGTTAGCATGCCAGAAGTGTGATGGACCTGTACAGTAGTGACGCCGGCTCGGTAAATGCTTTGTATTGATGTTGCTGGGTGCGTGCGGCTGATTTTAATCCCATCGGATGAGGAAAACGCCGGCGAAGTGATTTGTCGCGCGTGGCGGCTCTGGGAGGAGAACGAAAGCCCCCAGATGGATGGGGTAGCAACGGGCCAGTCCTTCCTCCAGCCCCAGTTGCCAGCTGGAAACAAGGGGGGAGATGAAGAGGATTTTTTAATCCTATAATTTGACCTGCTTATTAGTTAGCAGCTCAACTAATCCGTAATCCAGGGGGGAAGCGCTGCGGGAGCTCGCCTCGGGAGGAGTGTGTCGGAGGGGCTGCGGAGCTGAGGTGAGTGCGGGGGTCTCGGGGGGGGGAGACCCCTGTGGAGCCGGTCGGTCATCCTGATGCCTGCAGCCCCCTCTTCAGCCTCAGCCCTCTTCAGCCTCATGCTGGGAGCCTGGGGAGGAGGAGGAAGATGGAGCAGGGGCCTCGCTGCCTTCAAGGGGGGGTCGGCTGGCCGGCCACCGCCATGCCCGTGAGCCCGGAGGGCTGAGGACAGGCCACGGCCGGCCCCCCCCCCCG